GCGTACTCCACACTGTACTTACAATACAATGAACATCCTCACACAATTGAAAGTGACAAACTAGTTGTCGAAATGCGTGTTCTGACCCTTGGCCTCTGGTTAAATCTTTCCTGTTCTGCTGACCCGACAATCTTGCGACAGTTACTGGTGTTTTTTTTTCAAGGTACTTTTCCCAATTAATGTTAATGTTAATTTCAGTAAGTGTATTTTCACCGTGTTTCGCAAATTGTTTTGTAACATTAAGTTTGAAATCAAATATATGGCAGATCTAAAAGCGATTTAATTTATTTATTACAGAGACCTTTAAAATGCACAAAAAAAGCAAAAACCGACAATTCGTTTAAAAGTGATGTTGATTTTTCTAGGAATAATAAAATAATTTGGCATTCTCAATTTTAAAGGACAGCAAGAAGATTGAAGACAAAATTAAAGAAAGAGCATCAGGACAGGACCTCAGAGAATGAAACTTTACACGATGACATGTTTCCTATAGCTACAGGACACTCAGTTAAAAAAATTTTTGTCAGTGACCCAATAATATACGAAAAATCATTAGATTTTTAGAAACTTCTAGGGCATGATAATTTCATGCAAATTTTGGCTGGCTCAATAAGATTCGGGAACGATTTGGAATATCTCCTTTGATAATCTGTGGAGAAGAAAATGATGTACCTCAGGATCGAGTCAACGAATGGCGTACTTATGAAATTACAATGATCATCACAGAATACAATATCAATGATATTTTTAATACTGATCAATCTATGATATTCTATCAGTTACTTCGACATCGTACACTCACTAATAAGAAACATCGATGCATGGGAGGGAAGAAATCAAAACATTATTTAATTGTCTTGTTTTGCAGCGATATTTCTGGAACAGAAAAAATGGAATCATTCAACATAGAAAGATACGCAAATTCACCATGTTTGATGAATGTTCTGTCACTTCCCTGTAATTACCGTGGAAGCAGACGTGCTTAGATGACATATGCAGTATTTAATGAATGCTAGAAAATTTGGATATACAAACGAAAATGGGATTTTGATGAATGAAATGACAATATGAAAACAAACAGAAAAATTATTTTCTTAATTGACAATTGCTCGGCACAAAATTTGACATATGTGTTATAACACAGTTGAAAATAACGGACTTCTCGATCAAATAATAAAGTTTTATAATGACTATTTGTAATTATATGACTATATTTGAATAATGGGGGTTTATAATTTTTTCTTTTCCTTACTGAATGTAATGAATTAATATGTAGAGTCTCAAAAGTTTCATTATATCCGAATTTGCCCTGTATATAGAACATTAACCATCCAAAGAATGTTAGCCAAAATGTAATGTGAATGTGGCGTGATGGCAGAATGCCTAAGAAGTGGACTTTTAACTATAGAGATGCCGGATTCGAATCCGCTCAAGTGATAATCTTTGTATCAACGGTGAATTTGCTTTAGCCAGAAATTAATTCGTTCTAGTTTTGGCTAGAACAGCTGAGAAACGGGTAGTAGGCCAGTGAGTTGCGAACAATAGCAACATTACGGCATTCTCGTATGGTCATTCTGACGTCCTTCATTTCACGAAGTTGACTGTGCTGTTCTGATCGCCATTAGCCATGAGTGTCCTATTTTACAGGCAGAGCCTACATGCGTGTGACAAGCGTAGCGTGCAGTCCTCTGCTTCTTTTCCACAGAGTGTTACTCATGTATCTACCTCGAAACGGGGGAGGGCAAGTGACCGAAACTGACGTTTGAACACGAGACCTATCGGCTCTGAATTCGACCTCTATTGACTATTCTTCTACACCGTATTGTCGTAGTTAATCTGAAAATTCATCAATGAATCGATCATGACAAATAGCTGCAGAATCTTCAGAGTGCATATCTGTTTTGGCGTTTTCATGCATATTACCACTTTACATTTTTGCCTCAGCAGTAATCTTACCCCCCCCCAATGTATGCCACTTCCTGTCCACGAGGCCACCGCTGTAGATGGTGTTACAGGGAGTGATCAGCTGCACACGACCATTGGCATCCCCAGTGACGAAGCTTCGGCTCCTCGTGTTGATCACCAGCCAACGACTTGCATCTGTTCACCGAAGCAGCGTAATGAAACTTTTCCCTACCTAAGGAATTCGCGATTAAGACAAAAGTGTTCCAATCCCGAAATCGAACCCGGCACCTCCGGAGTTCTAAGCCACCACCTGACTTTTTTGCCACTGTGCTACCATGCCCAAAGGATTCACAAACAGAAAATAATGATTAGGGATTGAAAGACCTCAAGCAACCTTTTTGGGCCATCACCTCAACGCAATATAGGGAAAGTGTTTTTAGTGCACTGCCTATGCTATGATTATGGATGAGTATGATTGTTAGCTAGACCGGCAGAAGATGTAGAACAATGTTAGGTGCATGACCCAACCGAATGGAGAGAAAAACAAACATCAGCCACCGACAGTCAAAACAGCGATGTTCAAAATTGATGGAACCTTCTGAATAACGGATGATAAACAGAGTATATTATCGCAGCTTAGAGACCTATGAACTTACCATTCGACTGGAGGATCATGACCTCACATTCATCCATGACGCGCCTGTAGAAGAACACCGTTCATGAATCATAAACAAAGCATTAGTTTGTAGACATTACGCCATTTCGGCTATGGCAGCGTTGTCGCGTTCCTCCTGTTTCTTGAGGTCGGAAATCTCCTTCTGCAGTTGGGCGCAGTTTTTGAGTATTGTTTGGATTTCTTTTTGAAGCTTGAGTTTTTCCGTTTCCGCATTGTTGGTTTTTTTCTACAAAAAAAACAATAAAAATTGCATTGAAAACGCAACGGACATTCGCTCACTTCCTTGAAGCTCTTTTCCTGAACCTTGTTCTGTGATGGCGCCACCTTCGCTAATTCCCTCGTCGTTGCAGCTGCGACTCGAGACGAACTACCCTTACGATGGTGCACACTTTTCCTCGAACTAGGGGTGAGAGATCGGCTCCCGCTTGGCGTCTTGGTCACCAAAAGGTCGTCCCTGAAACAGGCATAAAATTCAAATAATTAACGAAATAAATTTATTAAAAATTAAACTGGTTTAAGTTTAATTCTTCATATCAGGCATTTCACCCTGTCACTAAGCGAGGTTCGGACGGGAGGGTACGAAGGGTGATTTTGGGAGAGCCGTATTTGACTATGGCACCATGGAGGCAATGACGCCAGCTGGCTGAATGAATGAAAACATGCGTGCAGCTGCCGAAGTGAGTGTCAGTATAGTAAAGCAAAAGCTTTGATTGATAATGGACAGACTCCGTTCTTCAGACCGAACCGGAACTCGGTCAGACTGACAGCTAGCGCCACGTTGTTGCGTCATCGGTATCAGGCGGTTTTACGTTTTTGCTGCAGCTGGGCGACATCCGCCACCATGTCGCGGCGGTAATGCGGCACAAGAACTTTTTACCTTTACCGTGTTTACCAGCGTTTTGCTGCCTTGAAGCTTTTAAATGCAAAATTTTGAAACAACGTCCACAAACAAAAAATAATATTTAATTAATTAATAAAAAATTAGTTAGAACGAATCGGTGGGAGACGGTATT